TTTTTCCCAACAGGAACTCGGAATCCTCTCGTCGAGCATGCTTTGAATTAAGCCGGCCAACCTTCTTCGTGAAGGGGTTTCCGTGTTTCCTGCCTTGGCGAGACGGCTAACGGAGCGGTGATAAACCGAGTCAAAGGAGTTGACCTGTTCTGTAAGTATATCTCGCTCCTCTCTCTCTCTTCTCTGTCACGTCGAAGACGCCGGGCCAACCGGAGGCATTGAAGCGGTCACATCGTTGGTCGAAAGCCTCTCGGAATTCCCTCCCCCTTCCACTGACGCATCGTCTGATGTCACTGTTACTCCCCCTCTCTATTTATGAACCTTGCCGTCTCGCCAAATAAAGGCTTCACACTTCTTATCTCTCCTCTTCCATCTTTGGTCAATCCAATCGCGTTTATTTGATGACACACGGTGGCACATCGGGTCCTCTTTCTCTCGCTTCCTCTTTGGGCAGCCGTGGTGGCGTACTCAAGCGCCAACAGCCTATGGACTCCGGCGACCACCACTCGATCAGCACCGCCATCGAGTTTCCGATCAGCCTAAACCCCCTCATAGATGCTCCGATGGTGGTGGAAGCGAAAGATGAGGTGAGCAACGATCGGGTCGTGGCGACTGAGATGGATTTCTTCTCGGGTGAGAGGAAAGATACGACGAGCCTAGTCGAACCGGATCTGGATCTCAAGGTGCCAAGTCTCACTAGGATTAAGAAGGAAGATCTCACAATTCAGGTTAGTAATTACCGTCCCCACAACTCTGTATAGAGAAGTCTTGGATGGCAAATCGTTAATTCTTGTTTGCATATTTAGACTGGATTGCACCTGCACACTGGCAACACGGGCAGCGATCAATCGACGGTGGATGATGGATTGTCTCGGAATGAAGATGATGAGGAAGGGAAGAACGAGGTTCGAAGTTCTACCAAACTGCAGGAGAATTTTATTCGTTTTTTTTTTCTTTTATTTTTTGAGTGGATTATATTGGATTTCTGGACTCTTTCGATTCAGCTGGCAGCCATGCAAGCGGAGCTGGCACGCATGAACGAGGAGAACCAGAAGCTGAGGGGAATTCTGAGCCAAGTGACCACCAACTTCAACGCACTTCAGATGCATCTGGCCACACTGATGCAACAGAGGAGCCACCAGAGCCATGAAACCCCGCAAGAACATGAGGTAAGATTGGTCATATCTGTATACACAGCAAAACCCATATCCAATTCATTAGAGGAACCGAGCTAATGAGTCGAGTTATCGTTCAGGCCATGGATGTAAAGACGGATGCCAAGAATGACGGCCATGGCGGAGTGCTTGTCCCGAAGCAGTTCATGGATCTGGGTCCAGCAGTCAACGATGTAGAGCCGTCGAACTCGTCGACCGTTAGCCCTGATCGCTCCGCGTCGCCACCGGCTAACGTTGAAGTAGGATCGATGGGTTACGACCTACACAAGAACGATGGTAGAAGCACCAGCGATCAAACCTGGAACCCCAACAAAGCCCTCAAATTGAACCCCACAAACCAAGCTCAAGAAGCCACCATGAGGAAAGCCCGTGTTTCTGTTCGAGCTCGATCGGAGGCGCCCATGGTAAGTACTCCATAACCATTACGTCGATCTGTACCTACACACAACAGCGTTCATCGATCAGCTGAGTAATGCTCCAACTGTCTCGTAGATTACCGACGGATGTCAATGGAGGAAGTATGGGCAAAAGATGGCGAAGGGAAACCCATGCCCCAAAGCTTACTACAGATGCACTATGGCAAGCGCTTGCCCCGTCCGCAAACAAGTATATGCCCATCTCTTTGTACTGTAGTAGTTGTTCGTTCGTGGATCGCACGCACGTAAGTCTAATTGATTCACGGCATGCTCGATTAGGTTCAAAGGTGTGCCGATGATCGGTCGATCCTGATAACCACATACGAAGGCACTCACAACCATCCGCTCCCACCGGCCGCGATGGCCATGGCGTCGACTACCTCAGCTGCAGCGTCGATGCTCCTCTCGGGTTCGATGTGGAGCACCGACGGACTGATGAACTCAAACTTCCCAGCACGAACTACTCTGCCTTGCTCATCGAGCGTGGCGACCGTATCGGCGTCCGCTCCGTTTCCGACCGTCACGTTGGATCTCACCAAAAACCCAAACCCTTTGCAGTACCAAAGGCCACCTACAGGCCCGTTCAGTGTTCCCTTCCCCGGCGTTTCTCCAGCATTCGGCGCTCCGCCTCAGCCTCCGTCCCTGCCGCAGCTCTTTGGCCAGACACTACTCCAAACGTCACCGGAGATGGCCGCCACCCAGTTCCCACACCAAAAGACCCACTTGGTGATGCCGTCACCCTCAACAGCTGAAACGGTGAAAGCGGCGACCGCTGCCATAACAACCGACCCAAACTTCACGGCCGCGCTGGCCGCCGCCATCAAGTCCATCATCGGCGGTAATCATCAGTGTTTCAACAACAACAATGGTAGCAGCAATAACGTCAACATCAGCAACATTACTCCTCACAAATCCTGCAGCTAGCGATGATCAACAGAGGGAACTGTTCTTGCGGCTGCATGAGGTTGAATACAATGTATTGTGAAAGGGATGATATTATTGATTGAGATAATATGTATTTATAAAGATTTTGAAGGATTTTTTTTTTTAAATTATGCATTCAAATCATGCACTTGTGTGATTGATTCATTGAATGAGGATTAAAACATATAAGTAATACAAATTTATTATTTTATATTTGTCTTTATCATGATATTTTATCATGCTCTTATAATATTGAGTTTCTATTAATATGTTAGGAATGAGAGATTTTGTGAGGAAGTATATTAGTTGATTAATAATATGGATATGAGAAATATATAGTTGATATATGACAATTAGATCTTTAACAAAGTGAAAGTCAATGGTAATGTATTTTATACGAGAGTGAGATATTATGTTAGAGTATAGGTAAGTAACAATAATATTATTATAGTATATTGTACAAGCGGATAGGGATGTGATGCCAAGTTTCTGTAACAAATTGGTGATCCAATTGAGTTCAACAACAGTGGTGGTAATGACTCAGTATTCAATTTCTGTGATGGATTTTGTGATTGTATTTTATTTCTTAAAACTCTAACTAATTAGATTTGCTTCAAAACATTAGTGTTGTCTGTTCAATCCGCATCGACGAAGACATGGGGTTAAAGTAATGAGTGTTTATGAAGAAAAAGTTTAGAGAGTTTCTTTTAGATATCATACGATACGTTTTAGTGCAAACCAATTGGCACTAGATGCATGAATTATGATAATTTATTGATTATAAATGAAATATCTAAACTTGTGAGATAAATACTATAAAGAATTAAATACTTGTCGATACCGTATGAGATCTATAGTAAAGTCGTCATCATATAATTTAAGTGATTCGATAATAGAGGGTAGGGTGACGACTTTCTTAGCATTCTAAATATTCATTTTGATAATAGATCTCGAATATACTTCTTTTGATATAGAAAAGCATAAAAACATTGCTTTCACTCCCAAAGAGGTTCCTAGTTCTTTGATTCTTTAATGGAGAATCAATTTACCAATTACTTAAAGAATTACTTAATCTCTATAGAATTATTACATATGATAATAATATATTATACATATACTAATAGATATATAATATATCCATTTTATTGCCATAGGAAGAGGTGTCATATTCGGAGTTAATGAAATCGGCTAACATGAAAAATAAGTTAACTTTGATATACTAGGCTCTTGAAGCTTAGCAAAGTTCATAAATAACTTTTCATAGTTTACAAACATGGTTTAGATATTAAAGGTGGATGAAGCCAGGGGGATTATACAAAAACATCTTCAGCTAAGATCCCATATAAAAAAATATTATTAATATTTAGTTGGCATACAAACCACCGTTGAGTGATAGCCAAACTTATAATGAGTCAAAATATCATCAATTTAACAACTGAACTGAAGGTTTTTGTAAAATTAATAACTAGTCATTACTGAAATCCTTTGGCCACTAGACATATTTTGTATCTGACAATGTACTCATTTAGGTTCTATTTAATTTGAAAGAATTAATTATACCCGATGATATTTTGTATGAGGTGAGATGGTACAAGGGTCAATATGGCGTTATAGAGTAAGGTATCATATTTCTCACACATGGCTTTGTGCTAATGTGAAGATTTTTTGTATTAAATGATGGTTGTGGGTTTGATAGGGTTAGGTTGAGAGCTTGTGGTAGTTTGAAGATAAATGATTTAACGTAATTTGAAGATGTCATTTTTGGAGCATGTTTCCATGTGATATCTAAGGCTCGATAGTATTATTGGATTGTGTTGAAGATATAAGAATTAGTTAAGAGTTAAAAGACATGTATATGATCAAGCTAATGCACTTCGGTGTCACTTGATCAAGGAGAGGACAAAGACATTATTTGTGATGCTAAGAACATTTTTTCATCAGGCATTATATAATGAGTTAGTGGAGATAAAGATAGATAAGTTGCAATGGGAGTGAGGTATTACTAAACTATAGTAATAAAGGAGTGCAGATCTAGAGGAGAACTACTAGTTGATATAGTAAAAAGTGCATTTGAGGAGATTTGAGGTGTACTCATATAAATCCAGTGATTGATGATTGTTGTAGTGTCTTACATTGCTAAAAGAGCAAGATTTTGAAAGACAAAGATAGACTCAACAAAAATAACATGATGTAATACAAAGATATTTTAAGTTTGAGGATCATAATATCAAAAAGTATTATATTCAATAGAGTATCTAATGAAAATAAAAGGCATAGATTTTGATGTTAACTTGTATAAAGCGTAGAGGTGTAGCTAGAGATAATACAAACAATCAAATACTTTGTGTTTTTAAAATTTTATAAAATAACTTTTCAAATGGTAATTGGTATTGTAGAATTGAGGTAAGCATGCAATTAAGAAGGTAGACCACAGTTTAAAAGGCTAAAATATTAATAGTATAGAGGTTTAGTGTAGGAGAGTGAAACTAATTTCAACTATATGACGGTACTTTCGTTTGACAGAGTTAACTAGTTGAGGTATGTGCGATGATAACTAGAGGTTGTATATTATTTGATAAGAGATAAATTGTTAGAGTTTAGTATTTACCTCCTCTAATAAAGTAAATTATTTTAATGATAAACTATAAAAAGTTCTCAATCACCTTTCTAAAATGAATAAGGACTATGGTGACTTAAGATTTGTGTTTAAGAGGATATAGCTATATATATTTAGTGAAGTAATATATGAAAATAACATAAAATATGAAATTATCAAAGAAAGTAGTTGGTGTAGGAGTTTAGACATTTGTATAAATAATTTTAATTGGTTTAAAATAGGATATGAAAGATATTCCAAGAGTAGTCTGTAATTATTAAAGAAAGTAGTTGGGGGTAGGGTCTTAAACATCAGTATAAATAATTTCAATTGGTTTGAAATATGGTATGAAAGATATTTTAAAAGGTAGTATGCGGCTTTTATTACTAAGGTAAGCATTATAATGAATTATAATTTTAATGATAAATTAGTTGTTTTTGAATGGAGAATTATATAAGGCGATGAGGCCACACATTAATTAGAGTAGCAACCGAAGAAGAATGATTAATTGGATGATTTATGAAGTTAACGGTCATTCATAAATATTATCTTTATTCTAATCTTGGATAAAGCATGCCCCCGTGTTTAAATCCTTTACAAGAAACAAATCAGAAAAGAACTCAATAGAAATATTATTTTATTTATAAAATTAAGAGATAAAAATAAAATTTCTTTTAATATAAGTACATAAAATATCATCGAGTATAAAAGTGTTTGTGTGTGAATTAAGTATTATGGAACCAACGTGAGTAACAAAAGTTCTATTATCATCACCAATGATGATGTCTTCATTACCACCATAATTAATGTAGATGAATAAATTCTGTAAATCAGACGTGATATAATAAGAAAAAACATATTAAATAATCTAATTACTTAGATGAGTAGTTAGAGCAGTTATGTTGTTTGCCGGAGACTAATTAGGTATAACAATGATTTCATCTCTCAAGGGATGACTTATTAAAGTTAAATCATTTATAATAATTTTTATATTTTACATATAATCCATAATAATACTTTCCTCTTATGTTATTTTTATCAAAATAGATAAAACATTTGGTGTGCAAGTGCGAAAGTGATTAATGAGGGTAGTTTGTAAGTTGGATGATGCTTCTACTATGGTGTCATATGAAGAGATTAGTGCTATTGAGCTAGTGATTGATGCTTAAATGGCTTGTAAGATAAGATAATATTGTCGTAACTATAACTTGTGATTGAGATTTATCATTAGGATGAGTTCTCCTAATATTTGGATCTTTTCTAGTGGATAATTAAGAGAGTTATCGATGTAGCCTAATAGATTATATCCAAAGTGAAGATTGTTAAATTATGCATGCCAAGATGTATAATTACTACCTTTGTTGAGATTGAAGAGGATTAGAGTTATTTTATTGACGATATAAGTTTTGTAGATTGAGATGAACTATTGTTTCCTTAGGAAATAATATAATTGGAGTGTCAGAGAGAAGGAAGACATGTTGAGAAGATGATATGATCTAATAAAGAAAATTTGATATTAACTTATGATTTAGTTTGGATGCATCGATAATGGATATCTGATCTGTTGGAGGAGATCAAATTTAAAAAATGCATAGGAGAGTATCTAATCTCACAGAAGAGATCAAATTTGCAAAACTACCAATAATGGAGTTTTGAGGAGTCGGCCTTCTCAAATCTCCATTGATCACAAGTTGTTGATGAGCATCGTTGGTGGCTGCGATCGTTGGAGGTGGATTAGTCAACGGAGTCACTGACCAAGAAGTGGTGAGATCAACCACTAAAGAGTCTGCATATAGTAGGCCACTATGGTCTAGAAACTAGAGCATGGAGGCATTGTTCTCGTCCAATGATATGATCTAGGGTGTGAAGAAGAGGGTGATCTTTTCCTTCCCCTCCTAAGTCATTCATTTGATTATGAATGTCCATGGCGCAATTGAGATGATGGTGGAAGGCAGTGGATTATCACTGAGAGATCAACCATGGATCTTAGATGCTAATGAGTTTGGTGGTCGATGAGAAAGGGAGAAAATGCCAATGAAGATGCTAGGTAGTAAGCACTAGTGTAGGAGTAGAGGGAACACTTGTCGAGCAAAACTAAATAGCAATAGAGAATCATAAAAAAAAGTAGGTCGATCATTAGAGGAGGTTGATTGTATCAGCAAGGTAGAATAGATCTACTGTAGAGTAGATTACGCTAGAAGATCGATAAAGAGGAGTCGTATGTCTTCATCTTTGGTGCAACTCTAGACTTTAAAAGTTGGAAACAAGAACTATAAAACAACAATAGGAAGGGCGAGGAAGAAAGAGCCCAAGCAAGAGGGCTTTGATACCATAAATAATTTTAAAAAAATTATTATAAAAAATATATAAAAAAAGAATTTAAATAATTTTTCTTATCATATATTCAAATCATACACTTAAATCTGTGATTGATTCTTAAATTATATACCCTCTTTTTTTTTTTTGCTAGTCTATTACATGATTCATTTGTTTAAATGAAAGAGAGAATTGCATCAATTTTATTTTCCTCTTTGATGCTCGGAATTTTCTCTTTCTCACGCTCGGTTGGCAATTTGATTCCCGAAAGGAACGCGTGGAATGTTACGGGAATTCTTCTGATTTGGTCCTCGCCGCGTGGGGCTCTCGTCGCTACGCGTCGTCATTGGAGGGTCAAGAATTGCGTCGATGCACGTGAAAAACCCGGCGGCACAAGAAGTAGAAAGATAGGCGGTGTCAATCAAAGTTAAGGTTGAGAAGATCTTATGCTACCGATCGTCTCTGTTTTGTAGTAACAAGTATGCATCAGAGATTTCAGGAAACAGCGGAGAATGTATCACATGTTTCGAGTACTACCGAAGAAGCACTGCTCATCTTCTACAGCTCAAGAAATTCTGTAAACCACACAGCAATTAAAGTAAATCCTTGAGGGTGGTCACGGCCGGTGTTGGTTTGATCTGCAGAATAACCAGCAAATGTATGAGGGTTGGATGATCTGATCGTCCACTCATGGTGATCAGTCAAGCTTAAGGAGTTATCGCTCACCTCAAAAAGAGTGCCATGGCTGGAGTTGCTGCAGATGGGACGCCCGCCCTCGTCGTAGAGAATGAGACCACTGAACTGCGGCAGCTCACATCTCTCCCCCATCAGTATCCTCCTCTTCCACAGTGGCAACACTGGCGTGCCCCTTTCCTCTGCTTCTGGCTCCACCCGGCTGTCCTCTGATTCCACCACATCCTCCCCTTCCCCCCCATGCAGCGACATTACCAGAGCCTTCTTGAGAGCTTTCCAAGTCGACAGAAGCACCTCCCCGGTTTGCTTATCACTACGGTTTCTCTTCTTTCTCACGGCCGCCGTCGCGCACAAGCCGATGACGGCTACGGCGGCTACGAGGAGCAAGAGCAGGGTTTCTAACGCCAGCGGCGCCCGCCGTCGACTGGGATCACCGAGAGCGGCCATGAGAGCTTTCAAGCCCCTCGAATCCTCTGACCAAACTCTTCGAACTGGGTGCTGCAGTCCTGCAGTGTTAGAGAATCAACAGGGGGCGCTCCCTTTTGCTAAGAATGAACTGGCATTCCATCATGTGTGGGATTCCCGTGACGAGTGCGGCGCGCCAAACGGTGAAGTTGGTGATCTGCGTACAGAAGTTACAGTATTGAATGCCTCTCTAGTTTCCGAACACTTCACTTGGGAACTCCAATCCCTCGCTTTAGCCTGCATGCATTACACTCAATTCTCCTAGTCTCATTATCACGTGATTGATATAGCTTGACTTGTGAAACGTTACAACCATACTCACGCTCATATTCTTCGTATTTGATAACAGCTTCCAGTATTAAACCATGACATTTAATATAATGATACAAAATTTCACTACATAAAAACTTTTCAGGCATATTCTCAAAGAGATTCACAGTCTTAGTGCATTGGGCTCTTAAAAACTTGCATTTCACTGACACCACCTAATCAAAAGCTACCTTCGGAGAGACTTTGTTAAGCATGCCCAAATGCAAATTTTGTGAGGTTTTAAGCATCCTGAATCAAGTGAACTCGAACTTTCCAACACCATGCTAAAATAGATGCGAAGTAAGACCTTGATTGACTTTGAATCAGCATGCTAATCAAATAGTCAAAATCTATTTTAATATTAGTAATTACTATCAAAAAATTTGTTCCTCTTATATTTAGCTACTACATTTAGATGTAGTCATGTTCCTTCTACCAAAGGAACTCTTGTTTATTTGAACTACTTGTTTAACTTGTCTTGGCCTATTTATTAAGAGATCCGGGAATCATTTGACATGTCACTATCACGAGACACCCGATAAGAAAGGATAAGATAATTTTTTTTTTGTTATTTATGATGAGAAAGATAATCACACACTTTCTTCTCATCATTAATGACGAGATAGACAACTATAAATTTTCTTCTTGTCATTTATGAGGAGAAAGATAATCATAAGTTTCCTTTATACTCTTTACGACTATGTATAAAAAGTTCACTTTTAACACAAATAAAGGAAAAAACTTATCTTGACTACTCGCGTCCATACATATCTCAAATTACTAACTTGAGTGTCCGGGTCATGAAACCTCGTACAATCTCGGTCTTCGCATAGATGGCACCTCGAGACCACGATGTTTACACCTTGGAGACAATTCAAACAATCCTAAGCATATGGGTCTAGACCATATCGGACTGACCAAAACGTTAATGATATTTTCTCATAACATTTTGGCTTTAGAAGAAAGGTTTGATATCACATAAATGTCAACTCGTCAATCCTCTAAACGAATGCTCTAACAATAAGGTCGTACCTCTAACCCAAAGCACTTTTACTTAGGAGGGGCAACTATCATCCTTTCCACATATGGATGAGTCCACTTTGATGTAGACATCGGTGAGGTACTAGCGCTTGTTCAATGACCCAACCCCTCACCCCTAAGGACGAACTTGAGCCACATGCTCGTCCTTACTGAAATGTTCCTAAACCTCACCCATCAAGCGTAGATGCTTACAAGCATATTGCAGTCTATTGTCCGACTCTTGCCTCAGCTAGCCCAATAAGCAATATCATCATCTTAGCCACAATATACACCTCAACCACCACTTGCGTCGAGACTTGTTAGAATCCTCCTGACTGACATGATATCAACATCTCATGATTGCCCAAGGTGTGCAAAACTACCAGCACAAGGAGCACCTCGCTCTCTAATGGTAGAGTTCAACACATCATTGCACCACCACTCTGCTCCGCCCAAATTCAAAACTCAATCGGTGGATTAAATAAATGGTTCCTTGAGGCTCCAACTAAGACAAATGGACCAATGCCTAGATAAGATACGATGGGAGTTCCAATAGTCTAAGAGGGAGAATCTGATTGATCCCACCTCGGGTCGATCCCCATTCACCTAGAATATCTAAGAGAAACCAATCTCGGCCAACTTCCACCTCTCATCATAGGAAGCCTTTAATGGTAGTACCGACCCGGTTGAACACATTACAGCCTTATACACCCAGATGTTTCTCTGTGACACCCTGGATGCTCTAAAATGTTGCATGTTCCTAGTAATGTTGAGAGGCTTGGCACAAGAGTAGTACACTTATATGAAGTCACTCTTGGTCGGCCCCTTTGCTTAGCTTGCAAAAGAGTTCAAACTTTACTTCCTCATGAATGTATGTCTGATGCCATCGACGATAATGTTGCTCGAAGTCAAGTAAGGGGAGGAAGAGACACTCTTCGATTTCATCGCTCAATTCACCAACGAAATCTGAAGTATGCAAAAAAGCTCATCTACTACTCATGATTCAAGCCTTTCATGATGGGGCTCAAGCCCTCTCTTTTTTTCTAATCATTAGTGGAGAGGTAGCTAAAGATTATACTCGATGTCCACCAAAGGGCCAACCAATACACAACCATCAAGGTGATGGTATTAAGTAACCGCGAGATGTGTAAGAGGCTATGGTAAGTGCAACCACTGTTAGTTCCAACCCCAATGTCACCTCAACAAAGAAAACAAGATCGACCTAAGTAGTCTCGTCTATGACTCGAGTTGATCCCCATTAACATGATAAGAACTAAGGTCTTCTTAGAGACAAGGAAAAAAGGGTTCTTGAAGGACCCTCAACCGATGAAGATACCATTGGAAAGGATGGATAAATCCAAGTACTATCACTTTCTACCTTGACTATGACCACGATACAGAAGACTGTTATGATTTAAATAAACAAATCGAGGAGCTCATTCATTATGGTTCTTCCGGAGACCTCGGAAACCTTTGCCCCGACCTAAGGGCTTAGTAGAGAGGTAAATCAATATCATCATTGGTAGATCTATCTCAGGAGGGGACAACACCTTGGGTCACAAAACATATGCCTAAGCCACCATCGAGAAGCACCCGAGGTCAGAAGACCATTCGGAAATAACCTTCAAGGATGAGACAATGGAATACCTCGACCCAAACTATGCTGATGCCTTAGTGGTCTCCGTAAGAATGATTAACACCAGAGTAAGGACAGTCATGATCGACACAAGTAGCTCCACCGACATCCTCTACTTGACACTTTTCAAAAACTTAGGCTCTTGGCTAATGATCTCATCCTATAGCTTCTTCACTGATGGGGTTCATGAGTGACTTCATCACCCCTCTTGAGACCATAAGCCTGCACATCACATTCGGTAATGAACCCTGCTTCAAAATGTTGATGACCAAGTTTATGGTGGTTGAAATCCCCTCGGCATACAACACAATTATATGCTGACCCATACTTAATAGGCTGAGGGCTATGGTGTCAACCTATCATATGATGATGAAGTTCCCAATAAGAACTAGCGTCGAGGAGCTGAGTACTTCGAAGGAGTCTTATTAGTGTTATCTAACGGTAGTCTCCTTACAAAGAAGGCTCAGCCTAAGACACCGTTGTTGGACCCCCGAGATTTCACTAGGCCCTTATCACATCCCAAGCCAATAGGGTCATTAGTTGAAGAACCTCTAGACAAAGCCCATCTTGATAAGGTCATCAAGGTCAAGGCGACACTCCCAAAGGAGAAGCGAGTGTAGTTACCCGATTTTCTTAGGGAAAATGTCGAGATGTTCAAATGGTCATCGAGAGACATGCCAAGAATAGACTATGACATGAACCAACACCATCGAAATATCTTCCCCGAGGTTCGAACTGTGAAATAAAAGCCTCGTTAGTTTACTCTCGAATGCAAGCAAGCGATTAGCGATGAGGTGGATAAGCTACTAAGAGCACAGTTTATTGTGGAAGTGTAGTACTCCCAATGGTTTGCTGACGTTGTATTGGTTAAAAAATCTAATAAAAATTAGAGAATCTGTATTGATTAAACAAATTGCTATAAAGTATGTTCGAAGGACAACTACCTTCTTCCCCGAATCGATCAATTGGTTGATGTTACCTAAGGCCATGAGCTCCTCACATTTATGGATACATTTTTAAGATATAACTAAATAAGGATGACACCTCATGTTCAAGAACATACCTCTTTTATCACAAACCAAGACAGATACTATTATAGAATCATGCTGTTTGAATTGAAAAATGTGAGGGCAATATGCCAAAGGATGGTGGATAAAATGTTTATGTATTAAACCAGAGAAACGTCAAGGTGTATGTGAAAGACATGATAGTCAAAAGCAAAACAACCGACTCACATCTAGTGGATTTGGCTAAGATATTTTAGGTTTTTAAGGGTTATAATATGCACCTTAACCCATCCAAGTGTGTTTTTAGAGTTAGTTTGAGAAAATTTCTCAGATTCATTAGTCACCAAAGAGGAATAGACACAAACCTCAAAAAGGTTGGAGTCATATCGAAAATGCATCCACCTCGAACGATAAAGAAAGTGCAATAGTTAACAGGGCAAATAGCAACACTTAGTCAGTTCTTATCCTAGTCCGATGATAAGTGCCTACCCTTCTTCTATGCATTGAAAAATCTAAAGGTTTCTTATGGATTGCGAAGTGTCATGAGGCATTTGAGAAGCTAAAGTATACCTCGTATAATTACCGTAGTTCTCCTCCTCTATTCTGAGCAAGGCTCTTAGCCTCCCAAGATAGTATTTTCAATACCTTAGGTTTAGAACTTCAGTAAAAAAACCTTTGAAGAGAGACTTCGAGCTAGACTCGACCTAATCGATGAAGTTAGAGCCAAAGCACATCTACGGTTGCTGAGATATAAAAGAGTAGTGGCCAAGCTTTATAACTAAGGAATTCACCCTCGAGGGGATCATATTAGGGGACCCAGTGGTCTGATAGGCTGAGGTTAATGACCCAACCAAGTCCCGGGGGAAGCTAGCACTGAATTGGGAAGGGCTCTACCAAATCGTCGAAGTCATCCAAGATCAAACATATTGCCTCGGGACAACAAAAGGTGCAACGTTACCGAAAACAAAAGGTGATAACCAAGAAGCCCCGACCTATGGGCCTTGAGTTCCCTCATATTTATAGAGGCTCATACTTAACCCTAATAGATCTTGCCCTATTGGGTATTGGATCTCCATCCAATTACCCAAACCTCTTAGATTAGTTAGTCTCTACCCAACAATCTCTTATTAGCTCTTATTGGATCTCATCCATGGGATCCAATAATTCTTAAGCTTATTGGATATCCAATAAGATATGAGCTCCAATGGATATCTCATATCTAAACCTCTACTTATCGCAATACATACCATATGCATGTGACCTTCTAGGCCCAATATCGAACTTGCCATGAGTCATACATATCAAAACACTTTCTGGCTCAGTGAATTATTATCTCCATATTAATTTCTCGATTCATCAACAACGGACATACCAGGTCACTACGCCATAGTCCCCAAACGATACAGGGGAATTCAATCCTTTGGATTTATCTATCCTCAATTACCATGTACATTTAGTCCTTCATCCATCTAAAATCCCAAAAATCATATACCGGGCACAGTGTTGTCAGGCTCATACGGTTTCTCCTCGAGTCACGCTCTAATCGGATTCTCCCAGAGAACTCTTTCTCTTTCAATTCGAATGATATTCCTCTCATGATACTGAGAGCGGATGATTCTTTATCGACACTCAATAGCCCTCGTAAGGTTAGCTGTCACTCCCAATAACCAGTTGTACTATATTTGAAACTTTTAAACCTATAAGTCTAGTATCAAAGAGTGGAGTACTTATATAAGATATCCTTAGTGTCTTAGGTCTAAGGACTATAGACACTACTAAGACTACGAAATCGTTGTTTGACAATAAGGCATCATCAACCATCTAGTATTTCGTGAGCAGATCAATCAGTGAACTCATTCTCCAATAAGCACTTGCACTATATCCTTAGTGTCCCCACACGAGCAGTTATGAGACGAACTATCTCCATCATATGGATGAGTATATAACACACCAATCTATCCAGTTATCTTAATATCTCTCTTGAGTAACCTATGTTTAGGATTATTTAGGGTTTGTGTTTAAAGGTAAATCGGTCTCATTATCATGATCTCATCATAATCTGATTCCCAATGCACATATCCATGGACATCACAATATACATATGTAATAAGAAATATAAAGTGAGAGAATATCATAATAATATAATAAGTAAAAAGAGTGTGTGTCATGTCACACATGTCATGACTCATGTGATTGGCTTGTAGGGTACTTATGAGTAGCACCCCTCAGCAACGAATGTTGTCCTATTGGACCTAGGGTATTGATCGAAAGAGTATTTTTAAAATGCTAGCTATAAAAGAAGAAAAGAGAGTTTAATTCCTCCCGAAAGAACCCTCAAGTTCATGAGAGGGACCCCTTTTGATGAAGAGGATGTGACCTCCTTCAATTTGGACTGTCTGAAGACGGAGCACAAATCTCGACTAACTTGTAGCTAAAGTATCAGGAAGAACTTGTACGAGAGAGAAGAGACATCCTGACCTGAGACAAAAGAGAAAAACTAATGCTGGGATGAATGACTCGAAGACTAACACGCCTTATCGAGAACTGGGGTGAGAGAAGAAGATGCTCTTAAGAAAGCCCTAGGGGTGAGGTTGAGAACTCTCGAGACTTGAATGACTCTAGACTCTAGAGGCTTGTATGGAGGAATGAATCTCATCCTATAGGGCAAGAGGATTTATAAGGAGAAAATCGATCTCTCTCCTCCTACGATCAAGACAAGTGTCCCTTTAAGAGTAAATTCCAAGAGGCCTACTATAGTGGGAAGGTCAAAGACCTGTCACGATGGGGAGAGGACTTAAAATTCATCATGGAAGAGTGAGAACTCGAAATCCACGATGGTAGGGAGATTCGAAATCTACCATAATAGACAAAGGACTTGAAACCTACCATAGCGGAGAAAGAATTTGAAACTAACCACGATAGAGGCATAGAACCAAATATACCCGAGACATGTGAGTCAAGAAACCCGACCCACATTAAGATAAAGCAATCATGGTGGAGACACAATATGCTCAAGGCATGTAAGTCAGAAAACTCGACCTATGCCAAGGTATATCTACCACGGTGGAGGGTCAGGGTCAGATGTGCTTAAGGTGTGAGTTAAAAAATTTGACCTATACTAAGGTAAATCAACCACGGTGAAGGCACTAAGCTAAATGTGTTTGAGGCGTGTGAGTCGAGAAACTCAACCTACACTAATATATATTCACCATAACAGAGGCACAAGGCCAAATGTGCTTGAGGTGTGTGAGTTGAGAAACCTAACCCGTACAAGGTAAATCCACCATAGTGGAGGCACGAGTCCAAATGTGCTTGAGGCATGTGAGTCGGAAAACTTAGTCCACACTAAGGTAAATCTATCATGATGGAAGCATAGGGCTGATTGTGTCCAAGGCATATGAGTCGAAAAACTCGACCCACACCAAGGTAAATATATCATAATGGAAGCATAAGGCCAAATGTGTGCAAGGCATGTGAGTCGAGAAACCCAACTCGCACTAAGGTAAATCGATCATGATAGAGGCGTAGAGCCAAATGTGCCTAAGGCGTGTGAGTTGGGAAACCCGACTCGTACTAAGGTATATCCGCCACGATGGAGGCATAAGACTAAATATACTAAAGGCATGAGTCGTGAAACATGACTCATGCCAAGGTAAATCCACCATGGTGGAAGCGCAAGGCCAAATGCGCTTGAGAAGTATGAGTCGGAAAAACCTGACCTATATAAAGAGAAATCCGCTACGATGGAGGCGTAAGGTCAAATAAACTCGAGACGCATGAGTTAGGAAATCCTGGCCCATGTAAAAATAAATCTATTATGGTGGAGGCATAATGCTAAATGCACCCAAGACGCATGGTTAGAAAAACCCAACTTGTGTGAAAAGAAATCCACTATGGCAAAGGTGTAAGGCTAAATGCACTTGAGACATGTGAGTCGAGAAATCCTGACTCACGTGAAAAGAAATCCGTTACAGTAGAGGCACAAACCTAAATATGTTCGCGATATATGAGTAAGAAAAATCTAACCTACATGAAGAAAATTTTTTACAATGGAGACATAAGGTAAAATATGCTCAAGATACATGAGTTAGGAAAACCCGATCAATGTGAAGAAAAATCTACCACAGTAGAAGCACAAGGTAAAATGTGCTCGAGTTAGGAAAATCTAACATGCATAAAGAAAAATATGTTACAATAGAGGTACAAGGTAAAATATACATGAGATACACGCGTCGGGAAAAACCGACCTACAAGAGGAAATCTCGAATGCTCATGTATCAGATAAATTAAATATCGCACTTCGAGTTAACCTCGAAAGAGTCCCAAAGCACACCTTCAAGGAGGACACTGATATAGGATATACTAACGACTAGTCATCTGACATGTCACTGCCACATGGCACACTATGTGGGAGGATGAAGTTTCCTTTTTATCATTTATGATGAGAAAAACAATCGTAAGCTTCCTTCTTATCATTTATGACAAGAAAAATAAAACTTTCTTCTCATCATTAATGATAAGATAGACAATCATAAAAATCCTTCTCATCATTTATGAGGAGAAAAATAATCGTAAGTTTCCTTTTATGGGTACAAACAAATAGAAAGAGGAAGAACTTCTTTTAACTATTTACATTCATACTCGTATACATTGAATTACTAATTAAAGCATTTGAGGGATCAAATCGAAAAATCTCACTCAACCTTGATCTTCATGGACGTGGCACCTTAGGAACAGAGTGTTTTCACCTCAGAAATACTCTGGACAATCCTACACATAGATCCGGACCACATCAGATTAACCAAAATATCAATAATATTTTTTCCTAACACTAGCATTCAAACTCCCTCGTATTAAATTCCTTTTAATATTAGACTAAATTAGAAAGTTACATCATTCATCAAAAGGTTTCGAATATACCTCTAAATGGATCCTATCTTAATCTTCTAAGTTTCTCGTTACGTGGGCACATCTCTCCCTTCAAGACGTCCCGATTCACATATAGATACTCTAATTAATTATGTCGGAACCATCGAAGTGATATTAGATTTATCTACATCGCTTGACATATTCTGAATGACATCATTGAACTCGACTTCATCGGCATCAAAACAAACGAATACATAATTATAACATTACAAGAAAGAAGCCAATTAATGAAACAACCGAATTACTTTGGACGGTGCGTCCAATGTAGCCGGCTCAAACAAGATTGCCCGCAACAGAAACGTCCTCCCTTCTCTCTGCCCTTCCCTCGCGCCCCCACCCTCTCTTCTCTCTCTATATATATATATTAGACTCCTGCAAGAACTTGATATGAACCAGCATGGATTGTGCACTCAAGATTGGAGCGCTGTTATTCCTCGCCTATGGCTGGTGGGGTTGGCGGACGACCTTAGGCAGCACTCCCGTCGACATGTTCGAGCAGTGGATAGCTCAGCACGGGCGAGCGTACGAGGACAAAGCCGAAAAGTTATATCGCCTTGGTGTGTTCACCAGGAACATGGAGCACGTGAACGCCTTCCTCCAAGCCGGGGGACACAGCTACACCATCGGCCTCAACCGCTTCGCGGACCTCACAAAGGAAGAATTCCTTGCTACCTACACCACCGGACGCATGAGGCCATCAGACGCCTCATATCCAGGGTTGCAGCCTTTCCGGTACGTGAATATGACTGCTCCCAGTAGCATCGATTGGCGGAATAAGGGAGTGGTGACCCCTGTCAAGGACCAAGAAACGTGCGGTAAGAACTCCTCCTCCTGCAGCTCTTCCATTCCCATCCAATTAATTATTTGAGGGCCTGTCGTGGCCCTATCGCCTATGGTTTTCCTCGTTTCGGTGCATGGTACATGCAGGATCTTGTTGGGCATTCTCTGCTGTAGCATCGATGGAAAGCATCAACATGATCGCGAAGGGGAGCCTCATACCTTTGTCGGAGCAACAACTGCTCGCCTGTGACGACAACGATGATGGATGTGGCGGAGGTCTGCATTACCGAGCATTCTCATACGTCGTCTCCAATGGAGGCATCACGACGGAAGCGAACTATCCGTACCAACCGAATGAGTCCACCTGCAACTCCACCAAGCAATCGGACCATGCCGTCTCCATAACCGGCTACGGGATCGTTCCCACGAACGACGAGAAGTTACTCATGAATGCAGTGGCCAACCAACCAGTCTCCGTCTCCATCGATGCCGGCGAGTTCCAGTTCTACGCAGGTGGCATCTTCGACGGGCCTTGTGATACGTACCTGAATCATGAAGTCACTCTCGTGGGCTACGGAACAGATGAGAATGGGACTGCGTATTGGATAGCTAAGAATTCATGGGGCACGTCGTGGGGTGATCACGGCTACATTCTGCTCAAGAAGGACGTTGCTCAAAAGGAAGGACTGTGTGGTCTTGCCATCCGCGCTTCTTATCCCATCATCTAAGTAAGGCCTAAATTGGCAGCTCAAGCTTTCCATCTTCGCAAATGCACCATCTTTTCATATGTCTTTCTCCCAAATTTGTATTTGCTGTGAAAGCTATTTTTAAGAAAATAAAGAAGAGATTTATCGGCGCACTTCACAGTTCGTTCGGTCTATCATAGATGGCGTCACGCATGACACCAGGGTGGGGCCGAGGCGTAACCACGCCAGCCGGTTGAGTCGAGCCGTTTGGTCGCGGGCCTTGGACAACCTCAAGCCCGCCTGGGTCGGCTTGGTCTGACCTGTTTCCGGGACCGGTCTGACTCGGGTCGGACCTGAATCCCTAATTTTAATTTCAATCTCAAGCCTTTTTTTCAAATAGAAAGATTAACTTTAAAAAAAAACTGAAGGCGTGCATATAAGATTTAAATATAAACTCATGTTAAAAATAATTGAATTTTTTAATTGATTGTGTATTACAAACTCAAAACTTAAGATATCATCAACCCAAATTTATATCATAAACTCTTCTCCTAAAAATCATGCAGGAACAGCATAGATTAGATAATAAAAATTGTGCATGAACAATCATCATTTAAATCAACGGCATAAGTTTAATTATAAGAATCACGCACGAACAACAAAATTTAAATCCTCAAAATCTTGAATGATAATATTATAAAGGGCAACTTCTTTAGAGATATCAATAATGCTCTCTGACTGTTGTTTTTTTTTTTTAACGATGCACCTACTTTATACATTTACGAAAGTGTCATCAAATTTTTTTTCCTTCTTTTTTCTCCCTTTTAAACTTTTAAATTGAATGCAAATGAACCAAGACATTGGATCGGTTTAACTCAATATTAAACCAGTCCAAAATAAGTAATTGTTAATAAAATTAAATAATATTAATATATTGATAAAAAAATTTATAAAATTAATTTAAACATTATAAAATTATAAATAAATTAATAAGGGAGTGACATCCCCTCATTGATAGATAATTATTCTTGACCACTTTAAATGAATAGATTATTTTAAAAAATATTTTTTTTTCTATTATAAAAAAATAAGATGAAAGATAAAAAGAAGAGTTAACTTCATCAACAGTACAAAAGAAATGGAAGACATGAAGATTCTCTCCAAAGAACATAGTCTCTAAGCTTTACTATAGCAAATCTAGTTATGAGGAGGAAACTAGTAGTAGATCTATTTATGCATCAAGTGAGAAAATGTCATAATAATAATAAACAAAAAAATTATGTATCGTATCACATATATCATCACTAATATGATTGGCTTGTAGGGCACCTATGACTAGTAGTTTATTCATAGCCTTGTCGTGTGGATCACCACTAGAGAGGAGGACGTTTGACCTCCTTCATCCTCTCCCACAGATTTGTAAGATTTTAGGGATATACGATTTCCTTAGGTAACATAACTATCTCACACGTGATTTCCAATTTCGCATGACGATGAACACCTTTTGGAAAATTAGAATTTTTTGTTTTATGTTCTTCCACTGCACATGTGATGTCGCCCTTAGATTTCTCTATAGTAGTACCAAAGTTAGGTTGTTCATGTGAAAGATTGATTTTGAACTGTGTATATTTTTGAAAAAGCTTTTTATCGTCAAAACTATTGACGCAAAAGGGAGAAAAGGTAGCAATTGTTATTGCCCTTATTGCGCTCGCAGAATAGCCAAAGGCTGCTCGTAGCCTTGGCCATCTACGGTAGTCGACAGCCTGCAGACCGCATGCAAGCAACCACATAGGCGATGCCTACGGGCGGCTTGCTCATAAGAGCAAATGGCACCCATAGCGGCACCCGCAAGGGGTGACAACAATCGCAAGGCAACAAGCACAAGGAAGAGGTTTAGGGTTTTTAAAAAATAATAGTTTTACCCCTCAAAATTTTAAAAATTTTGAGGTCTATCTTTTTTGTCCAAATTATCAAAATACCCCTCATAATTCAGAAAATTCCTTGCATATGCCTAATTTAGAAAAAAAAAATTATATTAGTTAATTAAATAAATTAATTAACTATTATTATTATCTAGTAGTCCTACATGGTGATATGTATATGTGATGTATGATTTGGACGGATAATCATGCACCATGTGATGTGTGTATACTTATGATATGATTATTATTATTGGGGCCTATGAGCCTCCAATTTATTTCTCATTCATTGTTCAGCTTGTGTGCCTGCGATTATATTATAATTACACAAGGAGATACAGTGAGAGCGCGGAAGCGATAGCGAGACTCACGAGATAGAGACGGACGATTGCAACTCATCGAGATGCATCGAGATATCGACGGAACCTATAAGGACGAGATAGATGATCATGGGGCATGGAGATGCATCGTTGCAAACATGCGATGTAGATATATATTAAATATGTATGTGATTGACATGTTATAGGAGACTGAATCAAAATTTCCTCTCTCGATAATATTAAGTTGGTAAACGTGAGACAATTAGATTGACCCACGTGGCCTTCCATCGTTATAGGTAGGAACCGATTTCCGATGTAGGTTGTGTTGGTCGAGTCTCTCGAGACTTACCTATATTGTAATTCGCTATTTTACCTACAACATAGAGATATCACTAGTGACCTGAAGATATAGTATACTTGGTCAAGTCCCTCGAGGCCATGGTGGTTCGAAGGCCAAACAGGATGGGAATCATAAGAAGTTGTGATCGGCAAGAGTTGCCTATCTTTTGAGCTTAGTGTGATTAGTCAAGTCCCTCAAGGTTATACTAAGATGCTGATTAGATCTTGTTACCCACTAAAAGTCTATTGGAGACTTTCGTTTCACATATTGAGGGTATCGCATGACTCACTAGAAAAATAGTGAGAGCATGTCAAGATAGAAGTCTATATCTTGATTATTCCTCTCATGAATAGTGAGAGCATATTAAGGATTTGTTTGAGCAAGAACATAGGATATTTCTTTCGTGATACTGAGAGCGAATGATTATCTATCGACACTCAATAGCTCTTATAAAGTTAGCTATCACTCCAATAACTGGTTGTACTAGATTTGAAACTTTCAAATCTATTAGTCCGGTATCAAAAAGTGGAGTACTTACATAGGACATCCTTAGCGTCACTTGTCATGAAGGAGATATGACTTAAAATTCAACATGGCAGAGTGAGAACTCGAAATCCACCACGGCAGGGAGATTCGAAATCTGCTACAATAGACAAAGGACTTGAAACCTATCATAGCAGAAAAAGAATTTAAAGCTAACCACGATAGAGGCATAGAGCCAAATATACCTGAGGCATGTGAGTCGAGAAACCCGAACCACATTAAGATAAATATATCACGACGGATGTACAATATGCCTGAGGCATGTAAGTCAGAAAACTCGACCCATGCCAAGGTATATCTACCACGTTGGAGGGTCAGGGTCAGATGTGCCTTAGGTGTGAGTTGAAAAACCCAACCTATGCCAAGGTAAATCAACCACGGTAAAGGCATCGAGCCAAATGTGCTTGAGGCGTGTGAGTCGAGAAATCCAACCCCCACTAAGGTATATTCACTATAACAGAGGTGTAAGGCCAAATATACTTAAGGTGTGTGAGTCGAGAAACCCGACCCGCACAAAAGTAAATCCACCATAGTGGAAGCATGAGTTCAAATATGCATAAGGCATGTGAGACGGAAAACCCGACCCACGCCAAGGTAAATCTATCATGATGGAAGCATAGGGTCAAATGTGTCCAAGGCATAAGAGTCGAAAAACCCGACCCACACCAAGGTAAATCTATGATGATGGAAGCATAGGGCTAAATGTGTCCAAGGCATGTGAGTCAAGAAACCTAACTCGCACTAAGGTAATCTATCACGATAGAGGTGTAGAGCCAAATATGCCCAATGCTAGTCATATGTGCCCTACAAGTCAATCACGTGAGTGATAACACGTGTGACTTGACACGTAGTCTTTTTGCTTATTATATTTTGACATTTATCACTTTATATCGCTTGTTACACACATATATATATATATATATATATATATATATATA